CTGTCTACTGTTCAATATATGTCACTATGAGACTTATACTAATATACTACTGTAACAACCCTCTTAGAGACATCTGCAGTTACCTTAATTCATCAATTAAGCCCATTTAATTAACAACCATGGGTCTTTCGGAGACATGTGCTGATTAATTCAGAAAATTTTTTCTCTGAGAACCATGCTAAGCTTTTTATGAAACTTGTAAAAGGTTTCATAAAATTTTTCATTTTTATGTAACTTGTGGGTTAAAAAAAATCAATATCCAAGTTTCCTAAATTTTATGAAACTTTTTACAAGTTTCATAAATGCGTGGTTTATGAAACTGGATTTATGAAGACAGGATATCCCAAAAATATAAGAAGAAATTAAATCCATTCCATTGGTTTCGTTCACACTTTGCTAGCTGTCTTCGACAAATATGCTTTGGAAAAAGCAAAATCTTACCTGCTAAATGTAACAAAGTCTGTCCTTGAATTTCCTGGTTCTGGTCAAACGCAATATTTGTTCCACTCAAATTATCTTTTACTGCCGTTGATTGCCGTAACACACTATTGATACGGGGTGCTTGAATAATAACTGCTGCTAGAGTACTCAACTGTGCACTGGATGTTTGACGAAATTGTTTAAATTTTTTTTGTATGACAGACGACTGACGATGCCGACCAAATCGAACATTTTCCCACTTTTGTTCATCTTCATCGTCAATTTCCACGGGAATATCAATGGAGGGTCCGCTGACAAGTCGTGGTGTGGTGATCGGAGACGTTTTAATATCCAGATGAAAATAGGATGGGTTTCTGGATGATATGGAAGGAGAAGATAATCCCGAACTAACTGAATATGCGGGCGTTATAACGTTTAATTCTCGGTGACTCATTGGAAAATGAAACTAAAAGCGTAGTTAAACTTATCTAACGTATCAAAGTTGCATCACAGAAGCTTCAATGATGAGAAGTTTCAATGATGAATCAGTTTAAATTTTAAGATTCAGTTGATTTTTCAGCATATTTAATGAATCCATAGACTCCTTGAATCACTTTAAAAGCCGTTTAAAAGACATTGTTTAGAAAAAACTTACTTAATAGCGATCAAAGTAGTTTTAGTTTAGGAACCATAATATTAAGACTATTTTGATGATATGATTTAATATGCACGAACCAAACATCATAGCTAAAAAATTAATGTATTTGTTTTCGCTTTCGTCATGTTAGTAATCTTATTAACTAGAGTATAATAGTAATACTAGTATATAATCTGACGAAATAAACGAAAAGAATGAGAAAGGAAAAATCGATTGTTATTTTGTGTATGCTTGATGCTTGACACCTACATAATAATAATACATACATACACCAATAATATACATTGTTTGGAAATCATACAGGTATACAGGTACATATTCGAAACACATACTTTCTAGACAAAACATTAATAATTTTATCAATATTTTTATTATTTGTATAATAAAACAGCTGGCTAGAAAAAGACTGAAGCAATTTAGACAAAAATAGTCAAGATAATTATCTATTTATACGTGTTCATTAAACATTAACGTATTGATAAATGTAATAAAATCTAACACACGGTAAAAAGCAAAACTAAATATTTTTTGCATTTTTGACATATACACCTAGGTTCTAAAATTGAAATTCTAGAGAATGCATGGTTTATAGAAAAAGAGAAACTTTAGGTTAAATACATAACACCAAAACTCATTTTCATTTTATTTCGTTTTTATTTTAGTTTATTTCCCTTCACTATCTTTTCCAGGTTCAGACTTTCAAAAAATCGTCGATAATGTTGGTAGAGTTTTTGATTGCTTTTTAGTCTGATTTTGACTTGTGATGAACGCAAATCTATTTTTTCTGTGTGCCTTTCTTGTTTAATATAATTTTATGGTATGAATTTTACTTGTTAGCACTTAATGGACTACTGAAATACAGCTATTTTACGATTGAGGATCATTTGTGAAATATCAGTTGATTTCTGAAAAAAATTCATAACCCCGGAATATGACTTTTACTTCAAAATTGCATTAAATACTCCGGAGTGTTTCTAGGTTATTTACACAAAGTTTGAAGGTTGACTATTGAAGTTCGAGAAGTTTATTGAAGATGAGCCCTTACTAGTGAAACATATGTAAGAGGGTGAGGCCCTAGTGAATGTGCGAAAATCAGATACCTGTTGGGTATCCTGGTACAGTAATACCATGTAATAGGTACTTGGCTTCAAGCAAAAGTATTTAGGTATCTTCCTTCTTTATAGGTTCCTCTGCTAGCCTCAGCCATGTATTAAAGTAAAGTATCTGACGAGTAAGTTTAGGTATCCATCCTAGTTATGCCATAGGTATTTAGATATACTTGACTTACGGCAACCAAAGTTCTTAGGTACACGAATTCAAGTACATTCACACTTTTTAAGTGTACACTTTTAGTATTTTCAAAAGAGTATACACTAAGAGCACATATAATTCTCTACGAAAGATGAAAATTTCAAGTGTAGTTATCATTTTCTAGTTATCACACAAAATTAGAAGAAGCCGCTAGCTATTATAGTTCTTAAGTTACAGAGACGATCCTGTTTTTGCGGAGTCGTCTGATTTTAGCGACATCTACGTATAGAAGGAAAAAGACATTTGACTACAATTCAAATTAACTTTTCAGATGCAGAATCTATCCAGTGCAAGATGTTTATTCTATAATTACATGTTTGTGCTTATGTTTCTCTGATATTACGTCTCTGTTGAGTCCGAAGCTATTCTTAAATGTTTTATTTTTTCTGAATAATAATAAAGAGAGCAAAAAAATCAAATAAACAAAATGAAATTTAATTTTTCTTGTCTCATCTTTTTCCCACTATTAAATTTCCGTTATGAGAAAAGACTTTTAGCTTCTTTTTTTCCCTTGAGTTTACTAGACAATCAGGTGAATGTAACATTTCATTATTTGTTGTTTTCTTACCTGGTTGTTTCAGAAATAAAATACTCTTTGTTTAATAGATGCCATTTTCTTTATGGGTTCCACTGACTCATCGGTAGTTTAGGCGAACAGTGCATGAGAAAGCATTTTGTGTTTTTTGATTTTATGGGTGAAACCTCTGTGAGATAATTCATCGTTACTGATTCACATCTTTAAAATTAGTATTTTTTTACAAGTTAGCTTTCAGTGTAATAACTGCAAGTATAATTCTGGTGTTTTTCATTACACAATTCTATCGATAAATTTTACATACTGCAGCATTTTAATTAAGTGGTGGTGGGAATAAAATCATGTTCTACTTTAAAATTTGTTTTCCACTCTCTAAAAAAAAACGTTTAAATTATTTTTTCTTTTTTGCCATAACAAAATGTAATAAATTTTCTTTTTTTATACTTCTTTTGCTTTAACTATTATATTAAAGCGCATTAGATGTGTATTTTCTTTTAAGAAGTCAAGGACATATTTTTTCTATACTATGTTTCTAGCTTAGAATTCTTATAAGAGCAAAAGTGATTTATTTTGGCAGCTGAATTATGTATAAGTTACACGTAGTATTTTAGAGTTTGTAAGGCTTATACTACGTCCGTTTTGTGATTCTAGCTCTCTTGAAAACGTCTAAAAGAAAATAAAAGGTTACCTGTTACTCTGATCGATATTTTAGATGATTTAGATCAATTAGAATTTTTGCACTTCTTCGGTATTACTGACATCTGAATATTCTGGGCTGTAAGAGCAAGACTGAATATCCTATTTTGCGGTTATCGGTATAGGATGCTGACAAGTATCAGTTTCAGTAATCCGTTACCTTCCGTATAACTAACAAGCTCCCAACATGGTTACCCATGCGAATATTAGTTATCAACGCAGCTCTGACTGAAATATGAGTCGTTCTTTTCGTCCAGTTGTTTCCGATCCGTATACACACTCACTAATTAAGTACCAGCTTTTACAGAAAGCCACAAAGACCAACCGAGATACTGTATTGTACGTCATAACGTAGTGCGTATGCTATTGTTCAGATGATCTGAGGCACTAAGATAAAAGTCGCTTATCCAAGGTTATTTTTACACAACTTGATCGTGCCGAGGTTTGAATGCAGTAACTCCGACGTACGCGACGAACAGCATAACCACCATACCACACGTCGACCGATGCAGTAAAGTCGCTCCATTTCTTTTATTCTAAATGTTTGTGCTTTTTGCTATGTATAGAAAAAACGTGTCCTCTTTGGATAAACTAGTTTATTATTTCGAGTTCAGAAGTAATATCGACAAAAGAAGTTTTTTTGTCCCATTCGACAAGGGCTGGAGTTAGGGGAATAATTAGCACTTTGCATAATGCGAGAAGGAAACTTGTTGTTGTTTTTGTGTTGCTCTTGCGTCCAGATAATTAAATTATAGTTAATTATATGTTACTAAAGCCGATTCGACGACAGATTTTTTTCATCACTAAAACAGTTTTGAAGCAAAATGAAAAATGTTGTTTTTCCTGATATTCACTGATGTGTTAAGTATTCTAATAAGCAATCAGGTGGAAAATATGTACTTATTTCGTATAATTTTTGGGGTTCAGCAATATTTGGAGTTCAAACAGACGCCAAATAACATAAACGAAAAAAAATGAAATTCCATCTCTATTTATACTGTAATTTTTTATCCAATGAGTTTTCATTGCTAAAAAACCAAAAATGTGCACGAAATAAGCAGATTTTTTTTTCATCTGATTAGGTCCCATTCGTCATCGATTATGTTTTAGTTTTAGGAAAGGGTGTAACTATTGAAGACTATTATTTTATTTCCTTGCCCTTAGTCTCAATAAGTGACGGTAGAAAAGATAGATAATTACCATACCTGCTGGAGTATATCTGTTCGTCTATCATATGAAAATGATACGAAATAAAAATGATTAAAATCAAATCATTTTTTGCTCATTAATTAAAAGGAAATCTTATTTTAAGTATTTTTATATCATTATAATCAAGTTTAATTAGGTATGACGTTCGTTTATTGATGAGTATATCTTTCACATAACATTATAACTATACCCAGAAATTTAGTTTAAAAAAAAGTATCTTGCATTTATTTGGTTATTTTTGATTACCATCAGTAAGATGAAAACGTTTAGGTAAGATTGTCATTATTCGCTTTCCATATGGTTTTCTTTACTTTTTCTACTTTACCACTATTCATACAAATAAAAGTGTAGCAAACTAACATATTGTTGCTTTTATCGTTTATTAATCCGTTTACAGACGTTTCCGATGCATGCTGAAAGTCTGTTAGAATCAATAGTCTAAGTACAAATCTCACAGTAGTAATGAAATCAGGAATTAATAGATGTAAATTTGTCTTTAAATTTGAGTGTTGACGTTAGGATAAGAAAATTTTTATTTAACCGTTATCGATATTGAACTTTTGTGGATTATCGAAAATCTCTGTAAATGGATTAATAAAATGATAGAAAGTGAATGTGTATGGGAGAGACTGCAGTTAATGACTAATAATTTTTTTGTATCTTTAGATAGCTCAGAAAAGAAAATTAAGGGTACCCACCTTCATTTCTTTCTCTTCTTACAAAATCGTAGCGAATGATCGAAGAGAATTAGAATTTTTACTAGGATATCTTCTAAAAAAATAAAACAGGCGTGTTTTTTACTCAAGATGATTATTTTGCAGTATGAGTACTACTTATTTCCGTTATTGTTTTTCTATTTGTTTATCGTCTTCGAACTGTCATCTAACAGTTTACTTTTTTTCTGTTCTTTCCATGTGTATATGCATGTGCGCTTGTGTGTGTGTGTTTATTGTAAATATCGCTCGCGGTTTTATTATTTTTGTTGTCTAGTCTAAATCGTATTTTCTTTCTTTCTCTCGTGCTACTTTATTATATATAAATTGTAGGCACACTTGTTGTCAAATTGTGTATGTATATATTTTTTAAATATGTATACATATATAGTGTGCACATTTCTTTTTAGCTTTTTTTTATTACTACTAAGTAGTTGTAGTCACTCTATAGAAAGAGAGATAGAGCAAAAAAAGAAAAGACAGTGAAAGAAAAAAAAAAAGTCAAGCACCGTGACATTCTACTATTATTGAAAATGTACTCTCACGTGTATAAGCCCATAGCTTTCACCTTTTCCTTCGAGGATTCGTATTTTCTTTTTTGTTTTTTTTTTTGTTTGTTATTTTAGATCTATACATCACATTAGAGAAAATCTAATGATAATCAATATTAGAATGTAACAATTGTCTTTTTTTTTTGCACGGTGCATAAAAGAAAATATAGATAATTCGCTCAGTTTTTTCTTCTGTTCTCTTTATTCTTTTTATTGCCTTAAGAAAAAAGGTAAATACGATATTTTAAATATCTCACATTTGTATTTGGAGAAAATGTATCATGTGTTTTAGGCATTTAACTACTGTTCATAATGGGCTGCGCTGGATCAAAAACCGGCAAAGCTGAAGGTGATTCGGACCGTTATCATCAAGAAATATTACATGCAGCACAAAGTGGTGATATTAAAAGATTAAAAGATACATTTGATGAATTGGATAGACGTAAAGCTTATGCGACGAAGAAGGAAGTACTTAATATGGGTAAGAATCCAGGAAATATTTTTCTGCGCTTTTTTTTAACATGCCAATCGTAATATCTTTTTATTAATGCTTCAAAGCTATTTCATAATTTTTTTTCTTTTTTGAATTAAATTTCAAGTTGTACAAAGATCTAATTCTGTACATTTCATTAGTTTAGCGTGTGATCTGAAAATTGATGACTCGCACGGTCGAAAGCAAATAAGTGCCATCTCTTTTTAATGTGTGGGATTCAAATTCATTGGATAGAAGAAATTTCAATTATAAGCCGAAATTATGTTATATTCTGCTTTAACTGATCAAATTTTTCGGACATTTAGTCCTTAATCCACTCATGTGTTCAATACCGCCGGTACACCGTTCAGTATTGCTTACAAAATCACTAGTACCAGTTCGAAACTGCATTAGAAATTTCTTCTGTTTTCCTTAGAACGTGACCAAGAGTCACATCGGGGACAGTTAGAATAACTGTCTGCATATGACTCTAGTCAAAGTTCACACGTCGATGAATCAAAACTTCAGAATTTTTCTTATTATATATTCTCAGAACAATAAAGCAAAAAGACGATTAGGTTGTACGGCATACCGTCGGTATGATATCTACCACAGTAGTTAAAAATACAGTCGACATTTTCGTTTACTGCAGTATACCATCGGTATTGTAGAAAAAAGTAGGACATGGGCACCGCATGTCACTATTTTATGATACTCAATAGCACCATCATTGATTTTTCGTGTTTGTTCGAGAGATCTGACTGTTTTAAATAAGACTTTTAATATTTTTTGACCATATCCAATGAATTTGAGTCCTACACATTTGAGCTTGATTACACTTTTTTATGCTACTAAATTTTGTCAGTCTTCATAGTAGTTATTTATATAGTGAAATAGAATAGAATGAACTTGAATATGGTTACCATGTTTCGTAATCAAATTCAAATATCTTAAATCGTTTTTTTATACGAGTTTTACGTATCTATTAGCGTTATAAGAGAGAAAAAATTTTTTTTTTGATATGTTGATATATTGAACAGATTATTTGAACTATGAATGCTTTAGTGGTGTAGTTTCACATAATGATTATTCATAACAAATGCTTTGGTATGCTAGCTGTTGAAAATCATCTGTTTTTACCTGACTATGATCATAGGTGATTGGCATTGGTCTCGTATTTTTTTTACTCATTCCATTTTGCATTTATATGGAGGAGTTAACATCAACTTCACCGCTCTTGCCTTCCGTTGAACAAGAAACAACAGCAAATAACTATCTTAATGTTCGAACAACGCGAAAAAATTTATTACAAATGGTTTTTAATTTGAGAGTTAAACATTCAAAAATTAAAACAACAAAAAAAATAAATAAATATTCATCAGCAACTTCTATCAGACAAAATAATATAAGTCAAAATTATTCTTATCATCGCCGTATTAAACAACTTAAAACAAAATGGACAAAATATGTGATAAATTCGACGACAAATAAAATATTACCAGAATATCCTCGACCACAAATGAAACGTCAACAATGGATAAATTTAAATGGTTTATGGTCATTTACAATGACATATCGAAGTTCAATTATTCAACAGCGAACGATTAATTATAAATTAATATTTAATGAAACAATTCGTGTACCTTTTCCCGTTGAATCTTATCTCTCTGGTATTCGTCGTATGGTACTATCTAATCATTATCTCTGGTATCAACGTCGACTACAAATTTCACAGAATTGGCTAGGAAAATTTAATCGTCTTCTTTTACATTTCGATTCGGTTGATTATGAGACATATGTGTGGATTAATCGAATTTTCGTAGGAAAACATCGAGGAGGCTATCAATCATTTTCTTTCGATATAACAGAATATTTGCAAACATCGATTAAAGATAAATTCAATTATTATCAACAAGAATTAATTGTTCGAGTATGGGATCCAACTAATGAAGGTTATCAAACACGCGGTAAACAATTATTAAACTCGCCAAAAAAGAGTATCTATTATACACCCGTCTCTGGTATATGGCAAACAGTGTGGTTAGAATCTGTTCCACTCGTTTATATTTCAAAACTATGGTTTCAAACGACTATTGATCATCAAAATATAAGTACACTTCACTATCGCGTAGACATAAATATTAAGAATAGAAAATCAGAAAAAGTTGTTCAATATATTTCACCATCATCAATTGTTTACTTAAACTATAATGAATTCGATAATATTTCTTGGGATCTAACAGATCTTCTCGATATTGAACGACGCACTTCTACAAAAAATGATCCATCGGTATTTCATTCTTCTGTTAAGCTCCTAAAAAATACTCGTTACGTTCTTAAATTAATATTAAAATATGAGAATGATGTAATAGTTGAAAAAACAGATATTGTGCCAAATCTAGAACAAAAATTTGTATTGAATAAAAATGCTGTTAAATTATGGTCACCTGAGTTTCCAAATTTGTATAATATCACTATTAAATTGTATGAAAAACACACTAATATCACTACAATTAAAACATTTCAAAATAGTATTAATAATAAACTTCATCAGTTTCGTTTGTTTGAGAATGCTTTTGGCGTACATAATCATCAAAAATTAGACGAAATCGAGAGTTATATTGGTTTTCGATCAATCAGTTTATGTGGTAGTTCTATAAAACAAATATGTTTAAATAATGAGAAATACTTTATGTTAGGTGTACTCGATCAAGGTTATTGGCCAGATGGACTTTATCGTTCCCCCACAGATTCAGCTTTAAAATATGATATTGTTAAAATGAAATCACTCGGTTTTAATACGATTCGTAAACATATGAAAATTGAAAGTAGTCGATGGTATTATTGGTGCGATGTATTAGGAATGTTGGTATGGCAAGATATGCCTGCATCAGATTCATACTATGGATATGAAGTTGAATTAAGTGAAGACGAAAGACTGAGAGTAATACGAGATAGTATATTAAATACGAATAACATTGAACTAGATTATCCTCATCTTAATTTGTCGATAAATGGAACTATTATGAAATCTGTACAAGAACAAGAACAAGAACAAGAACGTCCCGTATTCTTACCAAACACTGTTAATGGTCATCAGAAAGGAGATCAACGAAGTTTAGAATCAAAACTACAATTTGAGTATGAATTAAAATCAATGATTGATACACTCTATAATCATCCGTCGATCGTTGTTTGGGTACTGTTTAATGAAGAATGGGGTCAGTACGATACATTGAGATTAGGTGTATGGCTCAAATATTACTCTGGTCAATCTCGTTTAATAAATGCTGTTAGCGGTTGGCAAGATCGATCTGTGGGTGATATCAGAGATGTTCATGATTATACATCTCAGATAGAACTACCATTAGTAAATACCTATGATAGAACTAGTCGTGCACTTGTTCTAGGAGAATGTGGAGGCTATGGTTTAATTATTTCGCGTATGCATACTTGGAACTTTGAGAGTGATGAAGGATGGAGTTATTCTCATTTTAAAGATAAATATTTAATTACATACAAATTTGAACGATTAATGATGCAGATAAACGTTTTAAAACATCATTCATATTTATCATCGATAATATACACACAGTTGTCTGATGTTGAATATGAATTAAACGGTATTCTTACGTATGATAGAAAAATAACAAAATATATACAAAGTCATATAAAAAACGCTATGAAATTTAATTTTACTAATATTTATCGTATGCATATAGTTTTTAGTGGAAAATTGTACTCTACACCGTGGAATTATTCAAACAATGAAACAATGAAAAATAAAAAGCAAATAAAAACAGCTCCTTTTAGAAATTTTACAAATATTTGGTTAAATAGAACGTTTACACTCGATTCATCAACTAAAGATAAATATCGTCATTATTATTTGTATCTAAGTTATTATTTTTCTTATGTAAATATTACAATCGATAATCGTTATAAAATAGATCTAGAAGATCCATCAATTGAATATGTTTTTATACCATTAAATTATACTATTCAAAATATGTTTAAGTCGAATATTAATCGTACGTATACGATTGATGTACATGCGTCGTACTATTGGAAAGATAAAGATTCAACTAATTTGACTAGTATTACTGACAAATATATCTATATGAATATGACTTATGTAGATGTGGGGCTAGCTTTTATGAGTTAAAAGTATCTACTGTTGATTTTTTTTTTTGTTCTTATTTTTACGAACATTATAGCTTAGAAAAAAGATTGTACTAGTATAGTCGACGAATATATTGGTTTAGATGTAAAAATATTTCATTAGTTGGTTATCGAACTTTTTTGTTAAAAGAAATATCACACACTAGTATTCACTGGAGGAAACGTTTTCTCTATTTGTGCAATTCAAATACTTATCATATATCTAGTTTATATATTGTATGATTATTCAAAAAACAGTCAAAAAATAGTATATATACGTTCAGAAATATAGGACAATCAATTCTCTTGTTGGTACATAAGAATTCAGATTATAGAATGTAAAATTTGGATTAGAAATAGTGTAGAATACACACGCTATTTTGTACAAATTACTAAAATGTGATTATACCAGTTGCTTCAATTCCTATAAGATAATAAATGTAACCAGAAAAGCTTTGGCTTAATTAGACATAATCTTTCATTTAGTAACTTGTCATTTTTTTCACAATAAGATGGAGGAAACATGAAAGTATCAGATTTCTTTTGTCCTTTATCAGTATGCCAACAAAACCTCTTGGAAAATTGCTGTTGAATGATAGATTATATGAATATGTCAGCTTCTATGAACAGTTAAGACTTAATAAATGAAATGTTCATCATTCGGTATTTTATAATATAAATGCAGAAATTCTAGAGTATTATACGAGAAAATCTAGTTAATCTCTAATAAATGAATTTGGACGAATATTGTAATTTTAGAATTTTTATATGTAATGTATTTATCTTGTTATTTCTTCTACTTATAATTTTAATTTCAAAATGAATTCTACATCGTTTGTCTTTTTGTCTGTATTTCAGGATATAGAGAAGCAGATGGTTTAACAGCATTAAGTATAGCAGCTGGAAAAAAACATAAACCAATTACAGAAATATTAGCAAGTACGTACTACAATATATTCTGAAATATCTATTCTTAGATCGAAAATTAGAAAATAAGATGTATTTTGATAGAAAATTATTATTTTAAATGACTATATACTTCCTGAATAAAACTTATGATTGATTATAAATTTGTTAGCAGTGCACAAACGCCTCTTGTTTTGATTTATTTCACTGCTCATTTAATTTCAAAATGTTCATATTGAATTGTTCTCTTATCTCAATTTAGATTGTCCCGAAGTTGATGTTAATCAAGCCTCATTATCCGGTATTACTCCACTATTAATGGTCGCTGAAGTTGGTTGGCCAGATATATTACAAATATTATTAAGTCGTCGTGCTCTTGTCGATTCAGCTCCGTCTGGTAAACGTGCAGAAGAAAATAAAATAGCTGGTAGTACACCATTGATAGGTGCAACAAAATATAATCATCCAGAATGTGTCAAAATTCTTCTACAAAATAAAGCTGATCCAAATCATCAAAATCAAAGTGGAATTAGTGCATTGATGTTAGCAGCTGAACAAGGCTATTTTGAATGTGTCAAATTATTAGTGCAATATGGAGCTAAACTTGAACTAGCACCGAGTGGTATGTTTTCATCATTTGTGAACGCATTTATTATGATATATTTCCTTTTTCTGTATTGTTTATTCATAACTCATCTTTTTTTAAGGACAATTGGCGTTGAATATGAATCTATGTGGTCAAACACCGTTGTTCTGTGCGGCTAAAGAAGGACGACAAGATATTGTGAAATATTTATTAGAACAAGGTATGTGATGAATGTGTTCTAGAATACTATTCATAAATTTAACTTGATATATCTCTTATTTGTAGGGGCCGAGCCTCGTGTTCAAAATCATTATGGCGTTAGTGCCCTATGGATTCCCGCTCAAAAAGGAATGTTAAATGTTGTAGAGCTATTACTGGACGCTAAAGCTGAAACAGAAATAGCACCATTCGGACATCTGGCTGATGATTTAAATATTACGGGTTGGACACCGTTATACGCAGCAATGAAATCAAGAAAATTTGAGGTAACTACATGTATTCAACCTCTTCAAGGAAAATTTTTCTATCTTCTTCCAATATTACTTTCATTATACCAGTTTGAACAAAAAATATTTAATAAAAAAGAACTGCACCAATTTATTAGCATAGACGTCAAGTTTTTTTTGATAATGACATAATTACTCTTCTTTCCTCTTTGACGTCCTTATATTTGTGTATCTCTGTTTTAGGTTGTTAAATTATTGTTGAAGCGTGGTGCGAATCCAAATGCTGTTACTAAATTGGGTTCGACACCATTTTTATTAGCATCAGAAATATGTGATTTAGATGTTATTGAAGCGTGTGTAGAAGCTGGAGCCGATTTAGATTTTGCACCATCTGGGAAAGATGCTGATAATTTAAATATAACTGGACAAACAGCACTATTTATGGCCACGCTTAAAGAGCGATTTGATGTTGTTAAATATTTAATATCAAAAACAGCTAAAGTTAATGTACAAAATAGGTGAGTTGTAAATAATATCGCATTTCACAAAAAGAAAACGAATTTGTACACGATTTTTCAAGTGTAAATCAATTATCTGTTTTTTACAAAAAATATCTGGTTTCATGAGAGTATTAACTGAAACTATTCGTATATTCTATTATTTTAAGAACAGCCAGTTTTCACTAAAATTTGAGTAAACAACGGTCTAGTAGCGGCATATTAAAACGGCAGGACCCCTCAGATATAATTGTTCATCTATGAGTAATGTTATATTTTTTGCACAAACTGAATGATATCATAATTCATTAAATCAACAACTTATATCGTTAATGTTTCTTCTTATTATTACTTTCTATTTGCTTTCAGATATGGTGTTAGTCCATTATTATTATGTGCTGAAAGTGGAAATAAAGAATTAGTTCAACTATTAGTTGGAGCGGGAGCAAATGTTAATATAACACCAGCCGGTGAATTAGCTGAAGAAAATTTTTTAGCAGGACAGGTATGTACAAAATATGTGGTTAAAACTGCTGTAGTGTACAGTTGACAAACATATCATTTTCCAGAAAATAATTAATAACCGCTAGAAATACTTACAGATTTTAATACATTAGGCATTTTTTCTAAAATCATAAATGATATTGTTAATTTTTTGTTATATTCTTCACTGTTTCTTTTATTCAAGACTCCACTGTTTGGTGCAGCTAAAAAAGGCCACGATGAGATATGTGAATATTTAATACAAAATGGAGCTAATGTTAACGCAACAACAATGGTAAGCATAAAACGAGGTTTTTTCTGTTATTCATGACGTAAAAATGAAATTAGATAATTTGACGTTATGATACTTATCTGTATCAAACAATCTGACATGAATTTTGTTAAAAAACATTTATTCACTAATGTTATTCCTTTTTTTAGACTGGTGCAACTCCATTGTATACTGCCGCTGAAGAGGGCCATTTTGGAGTTGTTGAATTATTAATTCGTCATGGAGCAGATGTAAATCGTTCACCACAAGGCAATGTTGCAAAAGATTTAAGAATTGAAAATCAAACACCATTATTAATTGCTTGTATGAGAAATCATGAAAAAATAATTCGATTTCTTATTCAAAATGGAGCCAATGTCAATGTTACATCGGATAGAGGATCATCACCATTTTTAGGTTAGAATATCAAAATATTCTTTGATATTTAATTTATATTATTATTTTATTTTAGCCATTTGTCAGCATAATAATGTTGAATTAGCCTCTTTATTAATTAAACATGGTGCTCGTTACGACGTTGAAGCCTATAATTTGTATGATGGGAAAATAAATGGACTTATTGTCGCAGCTGAATCTGGATCATTTGATATTTTAAAATTATTAGTAGAGAATGGTTTAGATGTTAATTATAGAATTGAAGGAAAAGTAAATATACAGAATTTCAATTTTACAGTTAAATACTCTTTTCAATGTTGAACTATTATAATTGCAGGGTGAAACAGCTGGACGTACACCACTATTTTGTGCATGTGCCAAAGGCTATCAAGAGATTGTACGATATTTAATTGATCACGGAGCGGATGTGAATGGAACAGAAAGGGTAAGAATTATACGAGAGAATCGATAATAATAATAATATTATTATTATTATTTCAATTAGCGAAGTGATTTTTAATATTATTCGTTCATGTTATACTTGGACTCAAATAATTTCTATTTCTAGAGTGGTTTATCTTGTTTACACATTGCATCAGCAATGGGTCACAGTGAAACTGTTCGTATCTTATGTGAAAATGGTGTGAATATTGATCAACAATTTCGTTTCGAAGAACAAGATGTGACTGCATACGATTTAGCCGATTCACAAGATCGCAACAGTGTATGCGATGTTCTTAAACGATATGGATGTAAATTACCGATAGAAGGCGGAGGAGGATCAACTTCGTCAACAACACAAAAGTCACAGTTACAATAATAGAACACTTTTTTTTCTTTAGTTAAAAAATATATATATATCTGTGTGTATGTGTGTGTGTGTATTATAAATTTTTTTTGTCGCTTTTTCCAGTTTATATGTGTATGAGAGTGTACAAATATATTCTTCTTAGTTTAACAAACAAACAGAATAAAATAATAACGAGTTTTGTCTAACAGGATGTATTTTGCTTACTATTTGAGAAATCTAAAGGTACATGTAGAAAAATTAGTCTAGTAAGATACATGACTGAAGTGAAGATGACAAAAAAAAAAAAAACCTATTGACTTCTTACTATTTGTTCACTTTAAACTCTGTGTTCTATAATTTACCTGTTTAACTCTTGATTACTGATGAAAAAATCAGAACAGTTATGAGGTTCTTTTTTGCTTAAACGTAGAACATTCTAGGAGTTTTTACAAATTTTCTTTCAACTGAACAGTGTTGCAGTTATCAGACGAGTGTTTTGTAAGACAAAAAGCGGAATCTGATTTTGAATTTATCCGTTTATCTTTTTTTCTTTTTCTTTTCTGTAAGAAAAGAGAAACGTCTTCTATATAAAGTATTTTTAACCGCGTATCGACCATGGATCTCTCTCGGAAAAACAACATATTTCTGCATGTACCTTTTTGATAGTGAAATAATAGAAGCAAAATATATAACGTTAATAGCCTTCTCACACTGTTTTCTCGCATGATATGACAGTGTGATTTTTCACAGAAATCCTCGTCTTGTTTCTAATACGCAAAAGAAAACTATCTGAATAGCCGAGCGCAGCAAAAACAAAGCCCCACGTCTTTTTCTTATATTTATGATGTTTTTTGTTGTTGTTGTTTTGATGACATACTAGTTTATGTAACAAAAATAAAATAATATTCTTTTCTACTTTATTTATCTGTCTGTTGTGTACTTATATTTCTGTTTTTTATACTATAGTGTAATTTTTTGTGCTGTTCTATTAGAATGTCATATAAGACGTGATTTATCTTTCATTTTCTCTTTTAATTACTGTAAGAAAAATTTTGAATTTTTTTTTCTCCTTCTTTTTGTTTTTTTTTTTCGTTTTTTGGACATAATCTCTGTCTCTCTAACAATTTTTGTACTTTGTGCTCAAGCACGTGTACTTCGTTCACAAAAAAAGTATATTTGCGCTTAATATATCTGAGAGTTCATTTTTTGTCGACTGTTTTTCTTTTTTCTTCTTCTTCACTTTTTCTCTCTTGAATTTGTCAAATAAAAGCTCTATATCAGAAATAGAATCACGATTAGTGATGTCTTTTTTCTCTGTTAATATGATCAGGGTCTGTCGACATCGCAACTTGTGCGCAGCACAATTGCTCTCTAATTGATCATGTAGACTTGCAGCTTTTTGAAAAAAATTGACTGTTTCATTCTCTACAAGAATTAGATTAAATATATTTTTATAGATCGTAAGCATAAAAAAATCTAGACGAAATATTGTGCAGCTGCAATCTCCATTACTTTCTAACACAATGAAAATCTATTTATTTTGAACATGGTGCCATGCATAAAAATGGAATGAAAACGTATGTTCTGATGCTTCGAAGTGTCACCTTTCTTTCGGTGTATAGGGAGTTTGCTTTGAACATGTTTTTCTGGCACAAAAGGCGATCTTACTAAAATATACCAAAAAAAAGGAAAATTTCGACCTTTTCACCTTGATACTGAAAAGAAATGGAGCTAGTGAATTTTCTCTGCTCAGATGTAACAGAAGAGCTATTTTGCTTTAAGATAACACAAGCCCGATCTCAAAAAGGCTCGATTTATACAAATTTTCCTGAGTGCTCCAAACTTGCAGTTTGAAAACGATCAGTTTTGATAAAATGAACAAAAGAAAAATAAATTCTTTTGATTATGAAGAGTTTTAAATATACTCAGCTGATCGAACTTTTGAAGGGCTACAAAATATTCATCGTCTCTTGCTCTATATCGCAAAATATATAGGGCTAAAATTGAAAAAGCGTGTTTTGTGTTAGAAATTAATAGAGATTGAAGCTGCGCAATATCTCGTCTAGATTCTTTTATTTTACGATATATAAAAGTGTTTACTATGGTTCTTGTAGAGAATGAAACAGCCAATTTTTTCAAAAAAATTTCAAGCCTACGCGATCAGAAATAAAAGCATTATTTGAAAAATACTGAGATTTATCCTGTCGCATCTGTTATGATAACGTCAAAATATCTAAACAGGTATTTGAGAAAAAGTAAACAACAAGATCTCATTTCATTCGTCCTGTCGATTACAGTGGTTAGAAAATTTTGTGAAGAATGAGAGATGAATACGATTTGACTATATGATTGGTTATTCACTTCTGCGACGAAAAATATCTGTTCTTAGTTCGATGAAGAAAAACAAAGTTGTTCAAGTTAATTCATTTGTCTAAGCTGGATGAAAGTGAATCATTTATGCGCTTGTAATGATACAAACATAAACAAATACAAAACATATACGATGTAAACGTTATCCAAAGACGCTAAAAAAGCAGTAGAACAAGCGGCTATATTTAAGTTTAATCTGACTTGATGTTACATTTTAATTTATATATATATATATATATATAACATCAGCTGTTAGCAGAGCCGTACCCAGGATTTTGCCCAGGGGTGGCAAATTTTAAAAATTTTTGAACGGCTCTTCACCAACTTTTTATTCGTTCATCTACTCCAAAATTTTTTTACAGTGAAGCAAGATCCCAAGGAGTGGGCATGTGCCCTGTTTGCCTACCCCCTGGGTACGACCCTTGCCGTTAGTTTAAATTCTTATTGATAAAATAACTAATAAGATATGCAATTGGCCCTAAGGCCATTACAACATGTTGTACGGATATATAAACAAAAATAATTGTGGAAAATGTGTTAGTTCTGGTATATCAGCCACACCGGGAGAGAAATATTGATTATTCATAAAAAAATTGAAAATATACAGTGGTTGCTATGAGTTTTTTGAGTTGACCACATAACTTAGACAAATACATTATTGTTAGCGATGTGCAGGTGTAATAATCGTTATTAAATTTTACCCATGTCGATAAAATCGCGACATTTTTAACAATTAATCGTGATTCTTGAAAAATCGGCAATTAATTGCGATTAATTGTTGATTTTAAGCAATTAAATGGTTTGTTTTGCAGTAAAGTGTATATAAGAAACACGATTTCAACGAGAAATACACTTCTATTTAGATCATCTTATTATTTTCGAGTAAAACGGAATGGTCAAGAGTCTTCTATGTGGTCCCTTGGAGCTTTAAGCAGAGAAGCCCAGTAAACAGCTGGTATCTGAGCAATATCTAAAATCGGCTCGTTGGAAATGCTCCTACTTCAGCTGGTCCTAAGACCGTTGCTGGGTGATGTACATGTCATTATACATAATAAACAATGATAAAACAGAAAAAAATATGTATTCTCCAAGATAGGGGTTCGAACCTAGTATCCAGAAAAAAATCATTCATTAATTGTTAAAATCACCGAAAAATCGGCAATTAATCGCGATTAAGCGTACGATTAACTGCCGGTTTTTAGATGAACTTCTTTTGCATTTTCGCTCTGAATTTTACGCTTTATGTCTGTTGACGGTAGACAGTACGATGCAATGTACATGAAGAGTGCAATGCCATATGAGTAATCGAAACGACAGTAAGAACATAAAGCGACATGATAAAAACATAAGTAATAGTTCAAAAGAAGTGCTCAAATCGATCGTTTTTTTTGTCAAAAATTTTAGTATACAGCTTTCTAGTTTCTGGTTTTATAGATACTTTTCTTTCTCTTTCCGTCTCCTGTTTTTTGCACAAACATGAGGCGTCGTCATTTAGCATACTCTGTGTTTAAAACAACATATCGTTACATTCAAACAATGGCTGACGGTATCGATTTAACAACATGTATTATAAAAGATCATTTCATGACGATTGTATATTTAGTTCGTAGCGGTTTACAAAAATTAGTTGGCGCTCAATTGGTCTATGGATATGGTAACCAAGGTGCAAGTCATTCAAATTTGCCTTCTACAGATGCGTCACAGAAAAGTAATTTAATTCAACGAATGATTAAAGATAGTTTCGATGAGGCCATTATACCATTAGGTAATAAATAATAGAATAAAAGTTACAACTGAGCTCTTTGCAATTCATTTCTTTCTGTTTTTAGGATCTGATGTGGTGTTACGTGAACGTTACGTTAACTTTCATAACAAAGTTCGATTCGGTCGTATGTTGGAAGATTTAGATACAATAGCGGGTATTTTCATCTCATATTTTCGTTTTTCCACATGCTGCAATATTTCATTTCTTTTTCAGTTCATATTGGTTATAAACATAATGAACCTCAACTAATGACGTCAAGTGGTGGTACCGAAGCTTATCATCCTCTAGCTATTGTCACAGCTGCAGTCGATAGAATAGGTTAGGTTAGTTATTCTTTGACACGGATAATAGATGGATGTATGCCTAGAAATCAATCATTCTTGTATTAAATTACTTTTTAGAAGTCGATGTAGCTCATATGGATATTGATCGTGATATACGATTGAGCGGTTTTGCAAGCTATGTAGGAAAATCATCAATGGAGGTTAAATTAAAAATCGATCAAGTACGAGCGAAAGAAAATTTTCTCCTACTTATGCATATTTTACGCGGCAAACGTAGGGATGCTGTGCTGTAGGAGCGAGCTACTCATTAACTATTTCTGTTCTAGAATCATGATGGGCAATGGAAACATGTATTGCATGCCTTATTTGTATTAGCTGCACGTGATCCAAAAACAAAAAAGTGTGTATTATGTTGTCAACAATTAATCTCAGATTTAATTGATTTTTGTGTTTAAAATGAGAAACTATCGAAAAGTTTCGGGCTAAGTGAAATTTGTGTCATCAAGTCACAGAGGAGAATCCCTTTTTGTTTTTCACGTTTTAGCAGCTATCACTAGACGTCAAGTTCATTATTCTTTTTTTTTACGGTAAATTTATCTACTTGCACGATATAGCGCGTATCATATATCTCTGAAGGTAGTTCATATCGTTTTACATAGAACAGTAATCGGTTTTTTCTTGATTGATATGTTAGAGCATAAACTAAAATGTATTTTAACGAGTGCGACAGAATAAATGACGATCTCAGTATTTTCTTAATGTCTTTTTCGATTTTTATCATCCACTATTTTTTTTTAAAAAATTCCCCATTCAGTTTTCTACAGAAAGCCTATTAAACATTTCTTTATGTACTATAAGAATAAAAAAATATAGAGAAAATATGGGAAAGTTTCAATATCGATTACTTTTAAATCCAAAGTGCAACCAAAAATGATTTATTTTGAACGCGATACTATGAATCAAAGTGGAGTCGAAATGTCTTTTCTGGTGATTCGAAATATCACCTTTCTTTTCATATATTATAAAGTCGCTTTAAACCGTTTTTTCTGCCACTAACGAAGATTTTACTAAAAAGGAAAAACAAAAGGAAAAATTTGATTTCTTCGTCTTGGCACAGGAAACAAAATGGGGCTATTCGACTTTCTCTGCTCAGATGTAGCAGAAGAATTATTTTGCTTTAAGATAAACTGAAACCGACGTAATAATGTGTGGTTTTGATTGTATCATACAAATTTTTTTAAATGCCTTAAAACTGGAGTTAGAAAATGATGATTTTGGGCAAAATCGTTAAAAGAAAAAATAATCCTCCAGCGATCGCTTGAACCTATGAAGAGTCATATATATTACCAGTGGATAGAGCTTCTTGAGAACTACAAAATAGCTATTTTCTCTTTTTTGTATCACAAAATATGGGAGACTGAAATTGAAAAAACTGTTTTTTGAGTTTGAAAGTAATCGATATTGAAGCTTTCCCGTATTTCTTTTATATTTTTCTATCCTTATAGTACATAAAGAAATGTTCAATATGCTTTGTGTAGAGAACTGAATGGTGAATTTTTAAAAAAAAATAATAGATGATAAAAATTGAAAAAAATATTAAGAAAATACTGAGATCGTCATTTATTCTGCCACACCCATTACGATTAAGTTGTGTATAACTTCACACATGATAGTTCTTTCTTGAATGTTTGCACTCTTCCAGTATATAATTATATTCTGGTTATTGTTATTTTAAATAATAAACAATTTTATTTCAAAAACTAGATTTCGTTTCTAGTTCAGCTCCAATGAATCCTTTAATTGCGTCTAATGATGAGGAGAAAAAGATTATCGATCAAGGAAGAAGTACGTTGTAAATCTGTGACGACAATTTTGATTATCAATAGATAAATTTTGTTTTAGTCAATCGCGATCGTCGCTTAACAGAATCGGCAAAATCATTATTTAAGATGGCTCCAGATCCAACTGAAAGTTCACTTGTACACGAACTTTTTTTGAAAACAATAACACCAAAGTAAGCACTTCTATGTCTAAACATCATCTCCTTTGATAATTACTGTATCTTTTAGCACATCCATCTTTCGTACAAATCCGCTACCAGAAAATTCTATTTGGATGGAAGATACACATCTCCAGAATGTTCTCATTTGTCATCCAGAAGTAAAGAGAAAAGAAAGAACGAATTATCTATGTTAATTAAAGATGTATCAAGAACTTGTTGCAAAAATCGTATATTCTCAATATTCAAAACAACTAAGCCCTGCTGAAATTTTATGTCAGACAAAATTAATATTCTCTGTTCTATCTAAAGCTACTATCTATCCATTAAAAGAATGGCTATGACCATTTTTTGAATAATTCAAAGACAAAAAGAGATCGAGATCTGCGTGCAAACATAGGTTATCGACCACGCTCAACCTTGTGGTATAGTTTATTTTTATGAAAAATTTAAAAATCTAGTAAAAAGTTAGATCAGCTGAAAAAGACCAAGTTTGACTGTTTTCTGGAGGGCTTTCCAGTATTTTTTTCAACGTTTAAATGCTTTCCAGGGTTCCACATGCAGGACAGATGAGATAGTGTTTATCCTGACTTTTTCAAGTGATTTGAGTTCATTTTGAGTTATTTAGTTTCACGCGCGAACAGTCAAAATTGGTCTTTTTACAGCTGATCTAACTTTTCACTAGATTTTTGAACTTTCCCAGAAAAATAAACTGTGCCACGAGGTTGAGCGTGGTCCATAACCTATGTTTACATATGTTTCTGAGACCATGATAAAGCACATCTAGGGCTTTTAGAAAATCTCTTTGACACGGCAAAATAATGCAATAGCAAGATCTCACTGAAATTCCGGTTTAAAGAAGAGACTTTAGGCTATCTATACATATAAAAGGATGCGTATATTGCTATTTAAAATTCTGCAACTAAGAACAAGTCTTCCTCACATCCTCCTCCTGAAAAACCTGTTTCGAAAAAATATTTTCAAAATATTTTCTCTTGCAAAAAAGGTACTCTAAAGCCACACAATGTGGAAAACGCAGGTCTCTATCTCATTTTGTTATTGAGTTATTGAGTTACAAAATGGCCACAGCCGTTCTTTTAATGGACAGACAATAGTGCTTGAACTGATTAAATTGAGCAAAAAGGTATCCGGTTTGCTGCTTGACTTGGTAACACTGCCTGTTTTGGGCATTGTATACCAAGCCGGATGCGTTTTTGGTCAATTTAGTCAGTTCTAGCACTAGTTTCCGATAGAACAGAGAACATCGCCTATGTCTGACATAAATAGTTTGAATATCGAGAGTATGAAATCTTTGTGGTAAAGTCTTAAAACGTGGCACAATCCTAATGTTAACCATACCTTTTAGCAACGAAACTTATACAATAAAATATTTGGAGGTTATCTAATGCGCAAGTCATTTGAATTAGGCTGGGCAAATGCATCATTATTCGCGTAAGTATCTGCATTCAGATATATACAAACAAACTTGATTGTAATATGATTTAAATCAGACTCTGATCATCTTTCCACAGCTGAGTTTTTTTCTCGAATTGATAATTAGCAGAATGGGATAGATACAGGCGTTTTTTCTTTCATTAAAACCTAGGATCTTCTTGTTTTCACTATTTCTTTATTTTGTTCTTTTAAGCAAACAACCCATTGGTATATTAGCTGTTGATGATATTATGTTTCAAAAACCAGTTGAGATTGGCTCACTATTATTTTTGTCATCAATGGTATACATAATATTCTATTTAATACTCATCTTTTAAGTAGTTATTACCTAATCTCTTTATATTTTATAGGTTGTCTATGTAACTGATTCACGAATTCAAACGCGTGTTCATGCAGAAGTTGTTGATTCTGAAACGGGGAATCGTCAAACAACAAATGTTTTTTATTTTGTATTTTCAACTACAGATCATAAGCAATTACCAAGTGTTGTGCCAAAAAGTTATGCAGGTAAGAGAAAATATTTTAAAAGAAACATTTCGTTTGAATATAACTTTCATATGGTTTTATTTCAGAAGCCATTATGTACATTGATGGTAAACGACATATTGATTAATAGAACAGTTATTTTCTTTTATGATTTTGATGTGTTTTTTTTTTGTTGCGAAAAAATGTTTCAAATTTTCTTAATATTTATTGATCTATTAATTTATCATCTCAATGCTTTTTAGTACTTTGCAATATATTTCTAACATGTCTACAATTTCGATATTTTAATTTTAGACATAGTGACTGAGACAAATACACCGAAGAACAAGAGCGAAGATTCGCTGTTTTGTTTTGAAGCTTTCCACTCTTTTAAAGTTCGATTGAAAATCGTCAAAAATGCAATCAATTAGACCAGTAGATTATCTAGTATGAAAAAAATAAGACAGAGTTCCACTGTTAAATCGGGTAATTTATCAAAATCAAATACAAATAAGACGTATTCTTATCTGGAAACATCAAAATTTTAACTTCACTTTTATGTCTCTTTATACGATAGAAATCAGCAGACTTAACTTTCTCTTATCATTCATTTTCTCCTATCAATCGACAAATAATCCAAATTAGTTCTGATTCACTTTTTGTTTTTTTTTAATTGTACTCCTGATAATAATTTATCATATAACGTTAAATAGAGAATCTCACGGGCTACAAAATGCTCAATAAAATATCAGAACAAAACAGGACTGAGCAGTTTAATACCAGAAAGACTCTTGAACATCTACAGGGACAACTTGTATTCGTATAGTTCCCAATATGTGATGTCATGCATATGTATGTACAAGTACTCGTATAACAACATATATATCCATGAAAAACCTAGAATTCTAGAATCCATATATTCGTATGTACTAACATGTATCGGCCATGCTATGCTCTATATGAATTTTCAGGAAATTATCGAGATTCGAAAATCAAATCGATGTCCTCGATATCAAAATGAAATTACGAAAATGGGGATAAATTCAGGGAAACAGCAAATGAATTTTCGGAAGCACGAATAAATTTCAGAAAGCGGAAACGAATCTCAAACGAATCTAATCACTCTCTGAAAACCGCAAATTCTTCCAAGACGAAAGCGGTTTTCAGAGAAAAATAGTGAATTTTCAGGAGTCAAACTGACAGCGCCTTCATGAAAATTTAGTTACCATGATACCCACATAGCTGATGTGAAGGACGAGAAAACATACAGTACTTCTCTCAGTGCGTGTCCACAAAAAGCGACGCACATTCGGCAACACACACACCATATCTCTGTCTCACTAGGGCTGGTGGGAAAGAGACACATTTTCGGAATCCCACACAACACATCTCTCTCGCTGAGGATGCTCGGAAATCGTGATTCCACATGAAAAACAGATTTCTTACTGAATGAACTTGATAGAATGTGGATGAAAATCTTTGAATTTCGCATTTGGGATATATCCGTTACAGAATCTGTTTTTCATGTGGAATTACGATTTCCGCGCACCCTCAGTTGAGAGATATGAGCTGATGTGCGTGTGATAAGGATATCCGTGACACCTTCAACCTCAGGAAAGGACGCGTTTATATATGTGTATTTATGAGAAATCTCGAAAAATTCGAGTAAAATATATGAATTCACATGATTTTTTTTTCTCATAGGCATTTATTTCTCCAATAACTTTGTTTTGTATTTTTGATTGAAGTGTTTCATTTGAGAAGAAGAAAGATCTTGAAAATCCTTATGTTTTATTTATTTCTCTCATTTTATCAGGTGATGTATTTCAAATTATGAATAATGTGGAGAATCTTTCTCATTTCTCTCAATCAAAATCTTTTTTTCTTTTGTTTGAATAGTTTAGTTAAATGTAGAAGTGTCTTTAACTTTATTAGATTGATATAATTTCCATCGTCTCCTCATACGAGAAAAGGATCTTTTTTATTGTTTTAAAACATATGATAATAGTTTGATGAGTAACTTTGCCAATTGACTCTGACCTGCCTGTAGAGACTAAGATAAAAGAGGGAAAAGTATTTGTTTTATATTTTAGATCGAATTGATTGTTTAGATCAATAGTATGAAGATTGAATGATTGTCTTTTATTTTTCTAAAATTTGATCTGACGAGCTAAGAAACAAAAGAATTGAAGTTTGAAAAGATATCGAAGAAAGAAAATTTAACTAATAGAACAATCAATGAGAAGGCTTTTCTTATCAAATATGAAATGTATTTCAATAAGAGTATTCGCAAGAAATGAATTGAATAATATAAGATAAACAAATAAGAATAAGAAATCGATGTTTGCACTTATGAACAATTTCAACTGGAAAAAATGATCGATCATCAATACCTTTGTATCTGTTGAAGATATTTGTTAAAACAATATCATTTCATATTTTTTCTTCACATTTTATCGGTATCTTATTAGACTTTTCAAAGTCCTTTCGAACTAAAGGGTTATTCATAAGAAATATTTAAGAAAAGGTCCTACTTTTCAATTGTTTTCTGTCCTCTGTTCGATTTTCACTGATACTTCAGTTTTACATTTGAAAGTCCAGTTTACAAAAAATTTTTAAGTTTATCTATTAGATATCTTCTACGTCCGTAATTTATTCATTTGTGACTTGTCATCAAAATCTGAGAGATTATTCAATCTTGAAAATGCTGCTCAAAAAACAATTTCGCAAAAAATACTCAGACAAATAACCCAGGTCGAAGATTCTGGCCTCCGGAAACCAGCGGATCCTTGCCGGAACCGGCGGCAAATATCGATGTATCCGGTCGGAATGTCTTCGGATTTTTCCGGTGACTTCAAGCTAAATTCCGAGCTTTTCCGGTGGGAAAACGGCCGGAAGTCACTGGAAAATCCGAAGACATTCCGGCCCGGAATACTGCTTCCCTGATTCGGTGATTTTCGTTAAATTCCGGCCGGATCCGGTCCGTACGCTCCGACCTGGTAACATATAAATCGTTGTAAGCGTCTGAACATTCATATGTGTCTGACATCATCCTTTTCCCCTTTCGGAAAAGTCTGTTGTTCGCTAACCTCCTCTCAAACATCCTCCTTTACAGATGATCTCATTGTGAGTGCACTTCTTTTTTCTAACCGATGAACAGATCGTCATTTTTCTGTTCCCTGCAATCTCTTCCATCGATATTAAATCAAAT